GATGGGGGGGCGGGGGCGGGCGCGGGGGGGCAGCAAGACCCGCAGCTGAGGAGCCGGGAGCCGCCCACTGGGAAGGAGAGCTCTCCGGGCCAAGCAAAGGCAGTGCTCAGCAGCTGGGCGCCCAGAGGGCCGGGGCTCGGCACGCCCCAGGGGCCCAAGGCCAGCGAGCAGGCAGAGGAGCACGGTGAGTTCGGGGATGGGGCAGATGAGGACGTCATGCTAGGGCACAGGGAAGCCACTGGAGCATTTTAGGCAGAAACGAACTTCGTTTTACATGGGAGGAAACTGAGGCTCGGAGGGGCTGGGTGGCATGCCCAAGTTGAAGATGGGGCCTTGCCAGGAATCCACTCTGTGATTCCATGTTAAGTGTAATATCTTACTTGTTTTAACTATGCATTAAAATAGATAGAAAACACTATTTGTAACGCACGTTTAAGATTTCAATAATGAAAACCAGACAGCGGCCTGTGCCCCACCACCGGCTGCAGAGGTGTAGCAGGGCCTGTGGCTCAGGCCCCTGCGGCTCCCCCCGGCCCCCTGCAGTGGGTCACAGCTGGGCCTGCTTCTGCCCAGCCCTGCTCGGGCCGTCTCCTCCTCACAGCGTGCACCCCAAACTCCACCTCGGTGTCCGCTCCAGGGCACCCAGCCTATCCTCTGCCGTCAATCTGGTGACGTCAGCTCCCGTCGGTATTTACTGCGAAGGTGCGTCTTTTCAAACCCTTTCACTTCCAGCCACTCTGTGAACATGTTTCGGTTTTCCTCAGCAGATTTCACCGCCTGTTAGCTGGTCCATCCTTGTTTAAGCAGAGCGTTCATTATAGTTGCCGGCATGCCAGGCTGCCCGCTTGTCCTGCCTCGCTGCTCCCTCTCGCCTTCGTCGGGGTCGGCCCTGTTTTTCCCTTCCGTTTGTTCGCCTCCGTAAAAGGCTGTGAGTTGCTCTGGAAGTTATGCCCCGCGAGCTTTTCAAAGTCTAAGTTAATCAAACGTGTATCTTCCTGGACGATGTAACACCTCCAGGCCGTTGCAACCCGGTCCCTCCTCTCAATTTTCATGACCGCTGTCCTGTGTTTTAATCCTACTCTATCTTTAAATCCAAAAGTCGGCGTTGTTTCCTGGTCTCTCGTGTTCCCTGTGGTCAGCAGAGGCCCAGACTCGACCACCCGCCCGCTGCCACCTCTGCTCTTCATTCCTTCGCCCTCACCTCCAACCCTCCGTCTGGGATCGTTTCCTTCCCCCTGAGGTTTCACCTCAGAATTGCTTCACTGGGTCAGTCGGGGCCCCAAACCACTTTTGTTTGAGAATGTCTTTGCTTCAGTGCTGAAAATGCCGAATGATGTTTCCATTAGATACACGGTTCCAGGACAGCGGCAATTTTCTTTCAACACATCGCGGTGACTGACCCGTTCTCTCCTGTTGTCCTGTTACCGCTTGGAAGTCACTTCTGTCTAAATGCTGGCACTTGGCTTTGGCTTTGGGGTTCTGCCTCTACTCATGTTTTGAGTCCTGCTTGAGATTTGGCTTCTTGAATCGCAGGACAGTACCTCTCGCCAGTTCTGGGAAATCCTCAGCCATTGTTTACTTGGACATGAGACCCAGTCCATCTCTCACGCCTCTCTTCACAGGACCCCGAGTACATTGTCTGTTGCTGTGCTGTGTTCCAGCTAATTTTTTCTGATCCATCTTCCAGGTCACTTATTTCTGCAGCTGTGTCTATCAGTCTGCTTATTAAATCCATTGGGTTTTAAATTATTATGAAATACAACCCACTTGCAGAAAAATACATACAACATATAAGCATAGTTTAATTATAATTAAGGCAAACGCCTGATGAACAATTACCCAAATCAAGAATTAAAGCCAAACACAGAAAGGGCCCCCATCTGCCCTCCAATGGTAATGTTTCCTCTCCTCCTGGTAGTAACTGCTATCTTAGTACTTAAGATGTCACTTCCTGCCCTGGCTGGTTTGGTTCAGTGGTTAGAGCTTCAGCTTGCGGGCTGAAGGGTCCCAGGTTCGATTCCAGCCAGGGGCATGTGCCTCAGTTGCAGGCTCGGCCCAGTTCGGGGCATGTGCGGGAGGCAACCTAATGGATGTGTCTCTAACATTCATGTTTCTCTCCCTCCCCTTCGACCCTCTCTGAAAAAGCAATGGAAAAAATATCCTCAGGTAAGGATTAAAAAAAAAAAAGTCACTTCCTTTTATTTGGCTGTAACTTCACCACCTAGGCATCCCTAAAAAATACAGTTCCACTTGTCTTTTTTGGATGTCACACAAATAGGAGATTCCCTTGTTTCTTGCTCCCTTGCTCAATATTACCGTCCAAGAGATTCATTCAGGTTGCTGGCTATAGGTACCGCTTGTTGGCTTTCATGGCTGTTTGTCCATCCATTTCTTCAATAAATATGTAGTAAGCACCTACCATGTGCCAAACACTGTCCTAGAGGCTTGGGATATGTCAGGAAGTAGAACTGAGAAAGACCCAGGACCTCATGGAGCTCACGTTCTAGGTGGAGACCACGCTGAGTATTAACCTAACAGGTATGAGAAGAGTGACCTACAGGGGGAACCATTGCAGACAGGGGACAACTTGTCCAAGGCCCAGGGCAGGAGCACCAAGGAGGTCTCAAGCCTGGAGCACAGTGAGTAGAGGAGAGCAGCACGAGTCAACGTCCTAAGACTCAGCTCAAGTCTAACGGGCTGAAAATTTGACGGCTGCAAAGGCTGCCTGTCATTTGTATACAAGTGAGCATGAAGAAAGAATACTGGGCCAGGCTGAAAGGTAGCCTTCGACACCACAGGCGAAGGCGCCAGATGCCTCTCCCTCTTCCAAATACCCTGCTATCAGTGGATGAGCACAACCGTGGCCAGAAGAACAGAGGGTTCGGGGACTCCCGAAGAGAACACTCATATTCTCATTCCTACAAATACAGCATAGATAGAGTTTAAGATGGCAAGTATCGTATGTTGGCACACTGAAGAGACTTCTCCACCATCTTTTGTATCTTTCATTGTCACTGTTGAGACATCAGGGTCAGTCTGTCACTCCTCTGGAATCAATTCATTTTTTCTTATCAAAGTGTTTAATATTTTCTTTTATTTTTTTAAATTTAATTTTGATTGATTTTAGAGAGAGGGGGAAGGGGGAGGGGGAGAGAGAGAGAGAAAAAAATACTGATTTGTTGTTTCGGTCATTGATGCATCATTGGTTAATCCTTGTGTGAGCTCTGATTGGGGAATCAAACCCGCAACCCTGGTGTAACAGGGCTACGCTCTAACCAACTGAGCTACCCAGCCAGGGCCATATTTTCTCTGATTCTGAAGTTCTATAGTTTCACTGTGATATGTCTAGGTATTTCTTTTTATTATCTGGCTTGACAGTCTCAGTCATTATCTTTTCAAATATTGTCTGTTCTAATCTTCCTCTATATATCTATAAATCCAACAATGAACATATTAGTCCCTTTCTTCCCATCGTCCATGTCTCTTATTCCTGTCCTCTATATTGTATATATCTGTCTGTCTGTGCTGCATTCTGGATAATTTCTTCAGATCTATTTTCCACTCTACTAATGCTCTTTTCAGCTGTGTCTAATCCACTATTTTCACCTATCCAATGACTTCTGTATCTACAATTATTATATCTTTCAAGACCAGAAGTTTTGCTTTGTACTTATTCAAATCTTTACTTTTATTATCTCTTCTTTTGTATTCACATATTGAATCCATTATTTCATTTCTTTAAACATTAAAACACTACTTTTAGATTCTGCATCTGATAGTTCCAGTATTCTACTGGATATTGTTTTTTACTGGTTTTAAGTTCTCATTGCTTGGCTCTTCATATATTTTCAAGATTTTCTTTTGTGGCCTGAAGTTACTTGGTACTTTGTGGAAATTCTTTAAGGGCTAGGTTGAAGATGTACTACTCAGAGAAGGGCATATCCAGTTCAGGACCAGTTTGAAGTAAATCCCTAGCCTAAGACTTTTCAGACCACACAGATTGCATTTCAGACACAGACTCACATGAAAATCAACTTGTAATTACAGTTTTCCCCCCTGTTCACCCAATGCCAGTGCTAACTCAGGCAGGTTTCCTTGTTGTGCCCTTCTGTGATGCAGGGTTAATTTATCTTACTGAGGGTACAGGTGTCCCAACTCTCTATGTACTGATCTTCTATTAGTTTCTTTCATCTTGGGAAGACCCTCTAGGCTCTCTCTCTTGTCCCTACCACTCCAAATAGCCAACAAAACTGACGCACAAATTCACCAGGATTTGGCCAATACCCTTAAGACAATAGTTGGCTTTTTCGAATACCACTTCTCGGGATCCCAATTTTCACTTCATATTGGCCTCTGGGGATTGCTTGCTTTTTTACAAACTTAGTAATCTATTAAAGTATTTTACTTTTTATCTGGCATTTTAGTTGTTTTCAGTGAAAGAGCTGTTTATGAATATATCCTACCATATTACTATGAAGAGAAGTCTCCATTAACTATTAGGTAGTATCTTCAACACAGAGAATTCATCTTCTTCTATGAGTTAGTCAGAAATCTTTCAAATTTAAATATTTAGTCTCTTATGTTTCAGGAGGAACTTATCCTTTTAATTTCAAATTAATTATTAGACTGATGTTTCACAATTAAAAACAGAAGAGAACCCTCCTTTCAGTGTTCCCAGTTGTTTAGCTTTTTCATCAAAGAATGTCAAATTAGGTCACTGTCCACTCAGCAACGTCATCCCTACTGGGGATGGTTTCAGGACAAAAGCACAAAATGAAGTGTATAAGACAACTCATTCTTCTGAATGGCCTTGGGAATGATCTTAATCCACCCTTTACTGAGCAGTAACTAAGCACAGAGGAGTCCCAGGTCATGAAGGGGACAATACTTAGTTTCATTGGAACTGCTGTACTAATTCTTATTTTTTTAAAACTGTGGTAAATAAATAACATTTACAATCTTGACCATTTTAAAAAGTAGTTTATTGATGTTAAGTACATTCACATTGTTGTGTATCATCAATACATCGTTAGAACTTTATCTTACGAAGCTGAAACTCTGCACCCACTGAGTGGTAGGTCCCCATTCCCCCTCCTCCTGCTGTAGTAATTCTTACACCTAAGCTGCATCCATGATGGATGCAGTCATGAAAGCTTTAATACTAACATATGCTAATATCTCACACCAAATTTACACAATTCCTGGGAAAATGAGGCTTACTCATTTAGAGTAGACAATAACCATTTTTACTAAAACAGTGTTTCCTAAATCATACACTAGACCAAAAAACTTCACAGCTGATGGAGAAGTAAAGTTCAAACTTTTGCACTCGCATTTTGCAGATAAAGCAAAGGAGCCCCGTGGCTTATGCCAGAGCTATGGGATGCAAAGCTCACTCAAAGAGCTTTAAAAATATTTAATTTCTAGCTACCAAAATATGATCCCTTTCCACTGAAAGACATTTAAATTGCATAAATATGAACAAAATTTAAATCTGGCATCTTAATAGTTTTACTTCAAAATTAAAATTATTTCCAAGTCTGAAGTACACTGCATATATTAATCTGGTTTTAATTTATGTTTCCATTTTAATACAGCATTATTTCTATTATTCTGAAATATATCCTATATTGATGTCAGAATCTTCTCTAAATGAATTTTTTAATAGATAAAAATGCCTTTACTTCTAAAGCATGGCTTAACTGCATCCACAGTGCGCTGAGCCAGTTCTGGAATCCATCCTGCAGCTCAGAGTAAAACCGGGCCCGTGGAGGAGCAGTCCCGGCTCCTGGGTCTGGGCACCAAGATGTTACTCCTCCAGCAACTCAATCCTTAGAGCTTTTCTCCAGCTGTTTTCTGTGGTGTGTGGAGAGCCGCTTGGGATTCCTCTGTATGACACGGAGATCCGCCCTTGAAGACCGGAAGCCCACATCCTCGGCTTTTATAGGCTCAATGATGTGGCCTGGCATGGTGACAACCCTGGGCGTAGTCAGCTTCTGGAAGGCCCTCTGGGTGTTCCATGTAGACCCCACAGGGGTCTGGATGGTCCTCTCAAACTGCCAATGGTGGGTAAATGGATACGGAAGCACCCGTACCTGGTGAGCTGCTGCGTGGATGTTCCGCTTCTCACTGAGAATCACATTTGGCAAATTCCTGTCTTTCCTTGGAGGACCCTCGGGGGCTTTCACAAGAAACCGGTGTCTCTTCCTGGCCCCGGGCTTCAGGCCCGCACCCCCCCACTCGCCCCAGCCAGGCAGGGCCAGGTCCACGTCCTTCGCCTTACTCGCCTCCACAGCCTCCCTCCTTTCTTCCAGGAAGTCTCTGATGACATCATCCCCAACAAAAGCTTCCTTTACCATTTGCTTTTGCGCTCTCTCCTGCTCATCTGATGCCTCTACTGCCGTGGGGGCTGCCACAGGCTCCACGGAAGGAGATCTGGGGGTTAGGAAGTTCTGTAGGTCAATCATCTGCTGCTTCCTTTCCTCCTCCTTGCAGGCACCACGCTGACTGTCTGGGTTCCCCTCCAGCAGCTGCCCCTCTAGGGCAGGGCCGGGGGGCTCCTTATTCTGAAAGCGTCCCCCTCTGCCCAGCTCCTGTAGCTGCAGCCACAGGGGCTCCTCTTCTTCCCCTGCAGGTCGCTCTCTCCCGACTTGCAAAACTGTCCCCGCCGAGCTCACTTTCTGCTTCCTGGCAGGACGGTCGTCCTCACTTAGTTCCTGAGGCAGTGCCCTCCACTCGGACAGCACCTCCGGGCGGCCAGAATCTTTTGCTTCTTGTCTGCCCACGGGCTTGGTGTCCCGGTAGAGTCCAGACTTCTTCCTAAGCAATCGCCTTTCCCCAAATTCCTTCAATAAAACTTCCTCAGCCACTGGTCCCTCCTCTCCCTCACTTTCAGAAGCCTCGTGGGCCGCGGGCTCTGGAATTAGTTTAGGGTCCTCCCGGCTCTCAGCCTCCTCTGTATCGCTGGGGTGACTCCTGACCATCCAGGGGTTGGATTCACCTGCTGTCCTCTGTGCCTCAGTCGCCGCGTCAAGGACAAGGGGGTCACCGTCTTCTTCCGCACCTCCTTCCTCTTCCTCACTCTCGGGGGCCACCTGGAGTTTCTGTGTCAGTCCTCTGTTCCTGGTCAGCTGTTCCTGCACAGCCTGGCGAGCCTCCAGGTCGTATTTGGCCATGATTTTCTTTGACTTCGCCCACTTTCCACAGCTCTGGTGCCTCAGGCTCATGCGTTCCATCATTCTGGCCTTTTTGAGTTTTGCCAGCTCTCCCAGTGCAGCGCTGGAACTGACCTTCCGCAGCTCCTCAACCTCTCCCAGGCCTTTCCTGGCCTTTCCTTTCCTCAGATCTCTGCGATGCATTTTGCTTTTGATTTTCTTCTCTCTTCGAGCCCTGGCCTCATAGTAGGACTGTAGGGCCCTGGCTCTCTGCAGCTCTGCTCGGCGCATCTGAGCCTCTTCCAGGCTCATGGCTTGGAGAGAGGCCTTGTCCATAGGAGTCAGCAAAGGATCTCTTGCTGGCTGCCTGTTCTTATAAAGGAGCTTAAAAATGTCCCGCTCCAGGGGGGTGCCTGCCTTCCAGCCGCTGAGCACGAGTTCAGTGGGAGCAAAGGCTGAGGGCTCCTTCTCCAGGGGGAAAACCAGCTGCTCAGCCTGCCGGTTCCTCAGAACGATGGGATCCCACCTGGAGAGGGCCTGCGAGGTTTCCCTGAGGGCAGCTTCCCTGCGGACCCGCTGGGCCTCCTCTTGGCTGCAGGGCACCTCCACCGTCTTCCTTGATTTGACTCTGTCCAGTTGCTTTCTCACAGCAGCCCCTGAGGGTGAGGTCTGAACTGAGGGGTGAAGCAGATCTGGAAGGGCCAGCCTTTCTCCTGACCCTCCGGAGACCAAAGCAAATGCTGACACCTCCAGACAGGCCTCCGACCTCTCGGCCAACTTCCGCCCACTCTTCCCAAGGGAACTGATAGCTTCCAGGAGTTTCTGGTGCTTTCGCTCCCCATCGCTGTCCCCCTCATCCTCACTGAGGCTCAAGGGGTAGTCGTGTGGCAAATCCTCCAGTTCTTCCTGTTCGCGTGAAGCCAGGAGGCTCCCCGCGGCCCACGCTGCGCTCATCTCGGCAGCCGCCTCACACGGCCAGCATTGGGAGCTGCAATAAATGTGTGACTGAGGATTAGCTGCGTTAACTGCACAGGGACGAGCTCTACCAGCATCTTCCACATGCACCTGCTGACATGATCAGCTCTAATGACCTCATGTCCCATCTCTTATCACTTCAAATTTCACATTTTCATATGAACAATAACAAAAAACAACAACACTTACCGCTTTATTACATTTATGTTCAGGTCCATTCCTCCAAACCTGGACAGGAACTGAAGGTACAGGACAGCTCCAGAGCTGGTGAGGGGGACCTGCGTTCAAACAGGAAGGACAGCCCGTTAGGGAATCCAGACCCAAGCCGAGGGCAGCACAGTTGGCTGGGTGATGTGGGTAGGACACTGTCAGGGGGACAGGCTTCTAGCAAACCCAGCTGCTTAGAACAGGGGGCTGAGCGGACACGCAGGCTCAGCAAACTAGGTACAACACGAACGCCAATCTGAGCTCAATTAAACATCAACACATTGTCTACAAAATAACCTAAAATCTAGATCTACCTAAAAAATAAAGCAACAATATATTCCAATATATATTTATATACATGTGTGTTAATAAATAGTATGTATAAATATATATATATTTCTCAGCTGAGCCCAGCAATTTTACCTTCTGAGTATCAAGTGAACTCTCTGTACACTCATATACTTTTAAAATAGAAAAAAGTCACTTTTAAATTCGAAATTTTTTTTTTTTTTAAATATGTACCTTTATTGATTTCAGAGAGAGGAAAGGAGAGGGAGAGAGAGATAGAAACATCAATGATGAGAGAGTCATTGATCGAGCCCGCAACCCGGGCATGTGCCCTGACCGGGAATCGAACCCCAATTGCCTGGATCCTAGGTCGATGCTCAACTTCTGAGCCACACCCAGCCGGGCTCGAAATTCTCTTAAGGACATGAGTGGGTCAAGTTTGTCAAGACTATAAATTAAATTATTTTCTCAGCGTCTAATTTACTGAAGTTGACAGTAGTACTGCGATTATGTAAGAGCACAGTTCTTATGCCTCATACTGAAGGATTTAGAAGAACCATAAATATAAGCAACCTCCTCTTAAATGGCACAGAAAAAATATCCTGCCTGTATTGTTTGTACGGTGTACCGTATATAGTACTGTTTGCGCACACACACAAGGAAAGACCACAGGAGAAGCAGGTGAGGTGAGATGCTCGCTCCCCGCGAGCCGGGTAGAGGGTCCGGGGCACCGACTGCGGGTTCTATCTCTACTACTCCTATTCTTTCAAATTTCCTGGAGGTTGAAATTACTTCTAAATGAAAAGACAAGTTTTTTAAAAAGTGAAAATTATTTCCTCCCAAAAAAGGATTACAAAACTAAAATTAAGATAAATATATAATCACTATAAATTTATTAAGGTTCATGCAAATACCCAAAGCGCACTTTCCCATGTGGCCAAATGGCTCCTGTCTCTCCAGTCAGGTTTCAGATTCACTCAGCCCTTGAAGTTCCACCTCCAAGCCCAGCATGGTTGTATCTTAGTCTCCCCAGAGGACAACTTTCCCTTTACCATTTAAAATAGGTGCACCCAGGAATTGGAGCCAGAGGAAGGGGGTCCTCTGTGAAGCTTTTCCCTGGAAAGGACCCTTATGATTTGTTTCAGGTAGGGCATTTTATAGGCGACATAATTTGGAGTAGACACTTCAAAGTGTCCCTTCCCTTGCAGAAGAAAGGTGAGAACAGATTTAATGTGTAGCTCCAGACTGGACACCCTCACAGTTTGGGTGGTGGTAAGAGTGAACGCAGCAGGAAAGAAACATTTGCGGGGCTCAAACCCTACCCTTGGGCACAGGTGCCACTCAGGCTGTTTTACAGAGTTACTCAGGGGCCCAAACACCACCTCCTGAGGGTGCTGAAATTCTGCACATTGCACGTTGTTACTTAGGGTCCAATGCAAATTCTAACAGGGCAGAGACATTTGGCAATGACCAGTCTCAAGAGCTAAGCCCCTTAGACAACCAAAGAAGCTCATCTAAAAGGAGAGGCTCCACTAGGAACTCACTTTTTCAATATCTGTGATTCTGTTAATAACGTTTAAGAAGCAAAACCGTCCACAGGTGAATCACTGAAAGCAAATTCTTAGACCTC